ATCTATCCTCTGCAAACGCATTGCTCAGGTTTTGCTGCTGATACGCGAAAGCTACGTTCCTTTTCCTGCCCACTGGCCGACTGATCTGCTCAGTTTCCTGCGTCTTCTGCTGTATCCAGCACCGGAACGCCGTATCGACTCGTTGGCCACACTCAAACGGCATCCGTACGTGGCTCGGATCGACTTCTCTGCTGTTCTCGCCAAGTATGTCATTAGATCCTTATTAGTATGTGCATTTATTGGCCAACAAATACGGCGCTTTGCAGACGTGCTGCCCCGGTGTTCGTGCCTTGCAAAGAGGGTTTCAATTGTGATCCCATGTATGAGCTTGAGGAGAGAATTATTGTCTCCACTCCAATCCATCGACGACGGCAAAATAAGAGACGATGCGAAGACGAATCCGATGCGCTCAGGGAGATATCACAGGTGGGTAGCGCTTCTTTACCAGATAGGGTGCTCGTTAGATAAGATTAGATCCTTGCCTGCTTTTTCAACTTTTCCACCACGATAACAATCAGAAAATCACCATATACCACAATCTATCCAACTTTCAAAAAATACGACCCCTTTTTCCCATTCCCCAATTTCTTCCAATTGCCAATCTAATTCCCTTCCCCTCTTGATCTTCACCAATTCCTTATACGACCCTCCCCCTCCAAAGTAATTCAAATGCGATCCACCTCGTTGAGAACTGCGTTACGCACGATTGATCCTGGATCAGGGTGAGCTAACGTCGAGTACTCGTTTTCGGAGTCGTGTTTTGACCATTGAGGGGAGAAGGAGGATGTGGAAATGTATTGGATGGAATTGGCAGTGTTTTATTGATTTTTTGGAAAGTCCCCAAAAAATTCCCCACCCCACCCTCGCTGGAGGCGGATATTTTTCAGGAAAAATCAGGTGGAGTATATGTTGTTCTAGGTAGATACGGTTTGAAGAGGATGGAAGCAGGACCCAAGGAGAGGTCACGGGATCTCACATAGCTGCCGTAGACCCTTGAGAGTGATATTTTTGGTCAAATTCCCCTGAAGCTAAGGCAGGCTGTGAGCCAAGGCCTCCACTAAAATTCATTGGCCGTGGTGGCCTGGGAACAACTCCTACGTAACGCTGTGGTTTTAAGAGCGTAGTCAGGCAATAATGAATGTGCTGAGAGACCTCGATCACTAAGAAATTTGCATGAGAAATTTGAAATTCAGATGAGGATTAGTTGGAGGAAGACGTGCTTGTCGTTTTCTACTGCAAATCTGAGGGCGGGGACGCGAAGATGGGGGGATCGGCGGGCTGTGTACTTTGAGTTGAGGGGTCATCGTATGCTAAGATCACGCTTCCTAGCCTCTTCCACAAGTACGAAAACAATTCATAGCACCCGAGAAAAAGAATGGTCTCCGTCGGGTATCCGTGTCAGTGTAGTACCAAGGATGCTAAAAGATTCAGCATAAGGAACCCGTCATGGATCGTTTGAACGGGTGGTTACATACCTATTGAGGGGCACTTTGTGATGTGAGTTGTGTGAGGGTTTTGTTCGCAATTAACTCTCCGGACACGCATGTTGATCTCCTTCCCCCTTATATTTTTCCAGACGGCCGTTCAATCATACTCTTTTGTGACGGGAGATGTAATCGTCTCCATTTCTAAATTGAATTTACTCGATAGATAAGGGGAGTGGTGAGAGCGGAAACCCAACCAGCTTGAAGCTTACCCAGGTGATAAAATATAATACCATAACGAAATTGGGGACACATTTCATTCCCAATGAAGCAAGCTGTAGCC